GCAGCCCGCGGCAAGGAGCCTGGGGCTTGCGGAGCCGGCGCGACAGCCCTCCTGGGCCAGCGAGTCCGGGCCAACCCCGCTCCGTTTTGGAGGAAGGGGGAGGCGAAAGGGGAAGGGCCGCGCTGCAGGAGCCGGTCCTCACCCCCGCCCCCTGCGCGGACGCGCTGAAGGTTCGGCTCGGCTTTCGCGGGGGCCAAGCTCCCACTCTCGCCGCGGGAGGTGGGGGATGCGGGCGACGGCCCCCTTGGGCTCCAGGACCCTCCCCCCAGGGCTCCGGAGCTGTTGCTCCGCCCGCCGCCCCCTCCCCCGTCCTCTCCACCCTCCATCCCACCTCCCCACCCCTCGTAAGAAAATAATGCTGGCTGGCGCCCGCACCTCCCAGTCGCTCCCAGTCCGTCGCGAGGAAAGGGCGCCCGCTTGGTCTCCACTCCGGGACCCCTGCCGAGCCTCCCTAGCCGCCGTCTCGCCGCGTGTGCCGCTGGGCTCCGCTTAGACAGAATCTGCGAGCGCCGTGCCCGGGAATTGCCAGCCCCGGGGAGGCGCCGCCCGCAAGGACACCTCTCCGTCCCGCTTCGTCTGCAACTCCGGTCCTTGTCGAGCTCGACGCGAGCCAGGAGTCCGGACGTCCCTCTGCGCGCGGCGCAGCAGCTCGAGCAGTCCCCGCTGACCCAGCTCGGAGCCAACTCCACCTCGACCTGGGACTCCTGACGCGAATTCTCAGACACTTCTCACCTCGGGGCTGTGCCTGCCTCCCGCTCGCCCTTCCGCTGCCCTCCCTCTCCGCTCAGGACGGGGGTGCCAAGATGCCCCGCTACTGCCCAGGGCCCGGGGCCGCCCCCGACGTGTGACCCCAGCCTGGTCCCCCTGCTCGGCCGTCCGCCCTCCCCTTGGAGACCCCCGGCCCGGCCCCCGGGGGAGGAGGAAGAAGACGACGAAGCCGAGGGGGGGGATGTCCAGCTCCAAAAGCGTGAGCCCCCCGGGCTACGCGGCGCAGACAACGGCGGCGCCGGCGTCCCGGGGAGGCCCAGAACACCGCTCCGCGTGGGGTGAGGCGGACTCCCGCGCCAATGGCTACCCTCACGCGCCTGGGGGTTCGGCCCGCGGGTCTACCAAGAAACCCGGGGGAGCGGTGACCCCGCAGAAGCAGCAGCGCCTGGCCAGTCGCTGGCGTAGCGACGACGACGACGATCCTCCGCTGAGTGGAGACGACCCTCTGGTCGGGGGCTTCGGCTTCAGCTTCCGTTCCAAGTC